CGTTCCACTCTAGTCGTCGAAGGAGGACATCCTCCATGGAGGATACTCCGTTTTTCTCTGTTTCATTTCCATTAATTCCATGGTTTACTGGAATTGCACCCATATGGCCACGTCCCTCTTCTAACCATGCCCGGATCAGTGTACGCTGGGCACGGTCCCCAGCACCGAAGAGAGCCGAAATTGCCGTGTCCGAGAGTGGTGTGCCACTTCCGTTGTTTCCTATCCAGTCAGATACGCGCATATAAAACATACAAAAGAGTGACCAAATCAGTTTCATAGCAACCGAGGCAACATTTCTGGATGGCAATTTGGCTAGGTGAGACTCACCAATGTTGGGGGTACCAGCACTAGAAGATCTGAGGGCCGAGTGCACAGCGGTCGTATTAGCGAGTGCTATCGCCTGCCTAGTAAAACCATGTTCTGGTATATACGCAAACGCGCGCCGGAGGAGAGGCAAGGCGGATGACTGTTGCATTTTGTTTTTGTTTACCTCGAGGGCAAAATCGGTGTCGCTCACAACACTCTCCTTCCATCGTCAAATGGTTCAAAACCCCCTGGCACTCCCTGGCAGTTTTGAAAAGTATAAATACTGTCATTCTGGCGTAATTTTCGCGATCTGTGGCTTATCGTGTGAATAATGCAAATACTCCTATCACGCCAGTGGCTCCATTTTGGCAAATGGCTGATGGGTCGCCGTTGCCCCAATATTTCTCGTGATTCACCGAAAGAGAGAAAGCTAATCACCTATATGGCACCCCCGTATGTCCTTGCCGCAGACCAATGTGCATCTTCTGTTGTTAACTACATCTTTGCTCTACGCGACAATCAATTGACGGACGGTACTTTATACAACAATGGCCTTGGTGTTACCTACCGAATCATCACTTTAACCTTGCCCCTACTGCGCGCATCAATCGCTTCAATAAGGACGGCGACTGTTTCTAGGACGGGGACGTCAATTCCCAGCCGTTTCGCATGCTTGAGCGGATTGCCCCAAATCACCTGATTAATAGGAGGAGGGAATAGAAAGTGTCACCCAGCTGCTGGGAGACGAAACTAGCATATCACTTGCCTCGTACTCGAGGGCTCTCCCCGCCTGAACATCACTTCTTGTAGAGCTGGAGATCGTCAGACCGCCTTTCAGACGGTTGAAGAGCATATCTGCCATTCGACCAGTACGCCCTAAGACTTTGGCTATCCGTTCCGATTCTTCAGGGCTTAGCACGTCCGGTTCGAGGGGGTCGATCTCGATCCCAAGGCCTCGAGCGATTAAGACAACCTCGCGCATAAGCCGGCGAACGAGGGGCTCACTCAGAGTCGAAGCAGAAAGGTAGGCCGCTGTGTCCATATCAGCCAGAGCAGTAACTGCGTTCCAGCTCGCATTCCTGAATGGAAGAATCATATGTTAGGTGGAGCCAATCTATTGTTACGGTAATGCAAACTGCTACGCACCAGGCGATCTTTGTCCATCTATGAGCTTGCATGTATACATGATTGTACTCAGTCTGCGTGATGCATCCTCCAAGTTTACACAGTTCCACGAAAGTGTCAATACGCTCTTTCTCATGAGGCGAGCATTCAGGGGATCCATTGGAATGGAACGGTCCACACAGAAAAGTGAGGGCGCCAGAGTGTGTCACAAGACGCGGGGCCGCTTGTATGGCAGGGATATATGCCTAAACAATGAGAAAGAGTTGAAAGCAAATAAGTGAGTTTGTAAAGTTTTATTGCATGAGGGTAGTAAATGGGATCTCACAACACATGTGAGGACAAGGTTGTCAGGCCACCGGGCCTGTATCTCGTCCTCGATTCCTACCCCATTTTGAATAAGTACGATTGTAGTCTTCCCAGGTACGATGAAAGGCTCCAAGGACTCCACCAACGGTGGCTTAGTCTCAGCAATGACTTTGGTAGCAACGACGACGTAGGAGAAAGAAAGGGCTGTCGACGCCGGGGTTGGTGCCTGTGGGGCTTCTTGATCGGCCGAAGCATTGGCTGGGTAAACATGATCGAAGGTCAAAGTGCCACCTCCCTCGAGAGCTGGACTAGTGCTCTGAATCTCGATGCCATCCTTTCGGACAGCCTCGAAGTTGGAACGGGCCACTGCTGATAACGTCGTCCGTTTCGATCGCTGTAGGACTAATCCCAAGACAGAACCGAGACTACAGATGAGAAAGCTATTAGGACCAAACATGCTGCTCTGATCGAGGCCAACATACGCTCCAAGTCCAAAGATCAGGGTGTTTTCCATTCTAGAGGAGGAGGGGGCAAACTATGCCTTTCTGCCAGATGGTGGTGCGGGGTCAATCTACTAAGTAGTCGGGGAATAAATGGAAGACATCGTCAGGGTTCACTAAAGTGTGGGAGTCATTGCAAAGTCAGCATAACATATGGATCGGTGATATTACTAACTAAGATATGGGAAAAGAGACACCGATCGAATTAATTGCAGCCTTTGTCATTGTCGTCGGCACGAAAGCGATGGAGTGCCGAAGAGGTTGACGCAAATTTTGGCAGGTCGTCTCCGGCCCGGTTAATTCCCGAAGACCGGGGCTGGCGATCCACTAGCAACCGTACACGACGTACGGCAAAATATGAGCCACGAAGAGTTCTTGATTGTGTTTTATACTCAGAATGACATCGGAAATATCTATATTTCTAACATCAACATTGCCTCGATAAGATGAAGTATTGCCCCGTTGTTCAATCGCGCGTCCTTGTGAGGACGATAGACATCCTCCTCTACAAGAGCACTGATGGGGGATACAACTCCACTTCTTGTCGCGGCTATTCCAGCTGCGCGTGGTGTCGGTTTAGTACTGTCTATACTCTTGAATCGGTTGTTCTTGAAGAGGATGACACCTGTTTGTGTCATCTGCCAAGCCCGTCATGGCAGCTGTGCAGTGAAAGCCAAGCCCCGCAGATCCAGCAACGAGGTGGAAAACGATTCGTGCGGGGCTCGAACCCGCGTCCTTCAGCGTACTAGGATATAATCCCGTATAAATGACGCGCTCCCAACTGCGCCAACGAATCATGAATCCCCACTGACTTGAGTCTGCTACCACGGTGCACAAGTTGCATCAGTTCATCAGATAGATTGTCGTGTATCACTGTCTCTGTACCCATTAAGCTCAGTAGTTCATGGAGTCGAACTTATCCCTTGCTCCTACAAACAAGACAAAGTGTCGGAAACAGCTAACATTTCTCCAGTTGGATGAATTGGTTTGCACAAATGGACGTATGTACGTAACGATTGAAGAAGATATTGATACCAGACAGACAGCAAATCGCATAGATTCGTGTTCGAAAGAAAAACTCCTTCGCATTAGAGAATTCCCTTATCCAAACCTCTTGCGACTCGACAAGCCTGTTAACCAACTTAAGCGATGACGAAGCTGTACGCCGAGCTGTAGAATCGAATGCCGCGGGGAGGGGGAGGAGAAAGGGGTCAGTATTACTTACCAAGGTATCGTACAAGACGGGGAGGGACGTACGTGGTGAGGGTAACGCTGGTGCCCGAGGTGGCTTCGGTACCGGCCTCAGCGGTGGTGAGGTACTGAGCGGAGGAGAGGCCGCGGTTGTTAATGAGGTACTATATGAGCAACAGGGGGTCAGTGAGTGGTTCTTACGTATTGATTATCAACAACCTAAAACAGGTGGTTCTCCATGCGATAGGTAGAGGGAGAGGAGGGATACTTACAGTGAAGAAGAGCTTGATGTCACCGCTGAAGCTCGTGATCGTGCCGCTCGTAGGCAGGAAGGAGTAGACCAAGTTGCTCCCGTTGCTACAAATACGTTATCATATCAGCACTCCGACACCATAGGACAGAATAGAATGCTAGCGATTCGACTCACCTGCCGTAGTACAAGTTCCAGGTATGACCCGCAATGCTGATACTGCTGGCAACAGGCGTAGGCGCACCCGAGGAGGAGTAGGTGTACGAGATGGGGCCCGCGTTGTAGTTGGCGAGCCAGATCATGATCTCGTATGCGGCGGAGCCACCTGACGAGGACGAGGTGAAGAGGTCGTACGCGATGTCTGCAACGACGGACGAGGTGGACTGGGACCATGTCCACGTAGACTGTCATCATCACCACCGTTAGCTCCTTATATCTTTCCGTCAAACGAGAGAGGATGGACGAACCTGCATGGTGGAGATGGCGCTGAGCTGCTTGTTCAGGTTGGTGTTGACGGCAATGTTGGTGTACGACTTTACGCCGCCCGTGCCGGTGGTCCAGGACCAAGTAGTCTTCCATGCAACGGTGGTACCGCTGTAGGACGTGAGCGAGGCGCAGTCGCTCCCTGATCCGCCCGAGAGACCCCATTGGTCGAGGTAGAGGATGTACTCGGTGCCCACGGCAACGGTGCTATTATACAGCGAACCGGTAAGTGTAAGTCATTGATACCCGGTTATGTATGTGAAGATGTGACGCACTCCCATTGACCGCAGTGCGAGCTGGTGTCGAGACGGCGCTCGAGACCACGCTCCTCGACGGCATCGGCTTGGATGGGCGAGGCGATGGCGCCAGCGACGGCAAGAGCAAGAGCAGCAAACGAAGTCGACTTCATCTTATGTTTTTATATCTCAAAAAGAAGAACCGAAAAAACCAGAGAGTAAACCAAGCAGGGAGGGAAGGTAGGATTCCGCTGAAGATCTCTCGTCCTCGATCGAGCGCAGTATTTATGGTCCTCCTCCTCTTAAACATGGCGAATTTGCGGAATGTCGAGCAGGGCCGGTGTAGCGGTATGAGTGGGGCCGGGTAGAGAGGATGAGTAGGGTTCGGAGAGACTTTCCCCTTGGGGACAAGGGCAGAGTCCTAGGTGAGTTGATGGCGGCCCGACGGGACTGGCTCCGCCAGTCCAGCTGATCGATAGTGTGCTCACGAAGAATGGTAGGGCTCGGTGGAAACGATCAGTCGTGACCACCCCGGTTGACGTGGCCGACGACAACTTCGGTGAAATGTTGAACGGGTTTTTTTAGGCGGGTGGGGTGGGTGATGATGATGACATCAGGGTTCTCATATGTACAAGGTGAGGGAGCATTCAAAAGGTGGGTCTGACCCTGAGCGAGGGACCCTCAATCGACCGACGCTTTGTGGATCAGTTGTTGCTCGCATGCTTTTTCTTTTGACAGATCTCGAGTGTTCGATAAGGACAGGGAGCGGTGGTGCAGCACACACACGGCGGATCGTCCATTTGAGTTGAGTTGCTCGAGGAGAGAGGCAAGTCTAATTGGTGCGCTGACATCTTCACGTGGAATCGCGTTCAAAAAGTGTGTCGATCGTCCAGTCAACGAACAGAAATAGGAGAAAAGGGGGCAATGAGGGATTATATAACGAGGACTGAATCGTTGGGGGTGGCAGTGCTCTATAGTGCCCTGTTTGGCCCCAAGTGAATCGATCTGAGTGCGTTGTGCCCGTGGCATTTCCACGTGAAACTTTTTGTGCGAGACGGTATCACAAGGCAGAGAGCGAAAGAGAGCGAGAGTCTCAGCATGAACGACTCGACGGCGGCGGCCACAAAACTGCCGACAACGCCCACGACCACCACGATGGCCACAACAACGACCGCAGCGACTACCCCAGGGAATAACAACGGTGTGCCGGCAAGCACACTTGCGCTGCTGACACCCACAGAGACGAATGCACTGTGGACTTTTCTGACCCAGGCAGACAAGGCTGACGTCCTCGCACCTGAATGGAGCATTTTTGCGAACCGCCCCGAGCTCACGACACGCACTCGCGAAGCCAAGGAAGACCTGGCGCGTGCTACTCGGAGTCTCATGTCCATCGAAGACGGCAGTACTGCTGCCTGCTTAGTTAGCCCACATTCAGCCCCAGCAGCGACATCAGCAGCATCAAGCCAACAGCAGCAGCAGCATTTATCGCTGCATTCTCATTCGCTGTCCCACAGCTCAAGCAATCCTACTAGTACTAGTGCTGCTACTACAGCTGCGAGTCGCCGTCACTCAACGAGCATAAACTCTGGCATCGTGACTTCAGACAACACTACTTCCAATAACACACGCCCCTCATCGCAGCCGATGCGCCCGAGCTCGTCTTCCTCATCGTCCATGTATGGGTCATCATCCTCGTCGCAGATGCCCTACAACCACCAGCACCACCATCCCCCAGTCGTCATCCCCCTAGCTCCTACGACTCCGGTAACCAACCACAGTTCGAGTTCAACCACGACTAGCAACAACGGTGGTACGGGTGCTACAAGCGGTAGCCGCAAGCGTCATTCTCAGGACCACGCCCCAAAGGACGCCAAGCGCCCACGCACATCCTCCGATCTCCTCTCCTCCTCTGTCGGCAGCAGCATCGCCCAGCCTCAGTACCACAACCACCAGCATCATGGCTCCGTGCATGCGCTGCCCCAGCCACTCTTCATCCCCGGGGCGCCGTCCTCCTCCTCCTCGACCTCGGCAGCATTTCCCGGAGATAATACGACTGCTTCATCTCGCTCATACAATCTATTATCATCCTCCCCAACGTCTGCTAGTACAACAACAACAGCAGCGGCGGGACCATACACGACAATATCCGTGAGCATCCCTGAATCATCATCCTCTTCCTCTACACTCCCAGCTCCTTCCTCCTCTGCTGCCGCCTCTGCACCCACCCACCGCCATCGTCGATCCGATTCCACCTCCACATCCGCAACCACCACGAATGCTACCACATCCAATAACAACAACCCTACCAGTGGTGGGGGGACAACATCCTCAGAACGCGAACGGCCGCCTAAACCACCCCTGCTGACCACCTCGCAAAAGAAAGCAAACCACATCCAATCGGAACAAAAGCGCCGCGCTAATATTCGTCGCGGGTACGAATCCCTCTGCGAGATCGTGCCCGCTCTGCGCGAGGCTATCAAGGCGGAAGAAGAAGCGGAGCGGCTCGCAGCAGCAGAGGCAGCAGAGCAACAGCAGGGTGGGAGTGGAGCTCCAGTATCGGCCCCTGCAGCATCTGCATCATTGGAGTGGAGTGATCCGGGAGCAGGCACGAGTGCAGATGGGGCAGGAGGGGAGGCGGGTATGAGTGCGAATGCGCTGGCGCTAGCGAGGAAAAAGGCCAAGGGGCGGGCAGTCGCTGCTGCTTTTGGCGTCGAAGAGGGTGAAAAAGTCGATGGGCGCGCGGGCCCGCGCAGTGAAGCAGTCGTGCTGTCTAAATGTGAGTATTCCATGCAAAAGAGAGTCCAGGCCTGGATTGTGCATTGCGTTGCGCTGGTTCTCTCTGTTTATGGAAACGATAAACTGACGCTCGATCGATCGATTCTGTGTACGTGCCCCGTTGTTCCACGCGGGGATTTGCCCCCCATTCGCGCGCGCTTTACCCCACTCTCTTGCCTACCCTATCGCATCCCATCCCGGTCCGGTCCTGTTCTGTTCGTCGCGTGATGCTTACTCGTGACGCGAAATGCCTCACGTCGACTCCCAAAAACCACCTCTTATCTCCTGCGCCTCTTCGATAATCCCGCACTTTCATTTCCATCCCACGTGGGCCTCGTCCGAATCCTCCCGATTATCGTGCTCTTTTTCGCTTGCTTGCATGCCCACCCACGCTCACGCCATACCCGCGAACCACAAAAACAGCTATTGACTACATCGGGCACCTCGAGACGCAGCGCATGGGGCTCATCGACCGCATCCACCATCTCCGCTCCTTGCTCCCACCCACACACCCATCCCTCCCTCCAACACCCATCGCACCACACATCATCGCACGGCGGCGCGCACCCTTCATCCCACCCATACAAAATCCATACCGCGCGCCCTCGGAGCTGACGCCCGAAGAGCGCGATCAGCTCGACGCATGGAACGAGGGGAGCGCGGCGCCAGAGTTTGATGAGCGGATGTATGAGGTTGCTGTGTGGGCGCGTGCGTGGGATGGAGGCACGGGCTTGCCGATTCCTGGGATGGGTTTGATGAAGCCTGGTATGAAGGGCTTTGGGAGTGGAGGAGGCGGTGGTGGAGGGGGAAGTGGCGGGAAACGAGGGAAGGGAGGAGATGATGACGATGAGTATGAGA